CTTTGGGCCCGTTGGCTTGTCTGACCACACAACTGCCTGAGTTGAATGGCTGCCCAAAACATGTTTTGGTGAGTTCTTTGTGGTTATTTTCTTTCTAGCACTGTTAATTTCAGTAGATTAAAAATAGAGCTTTTTTGATTAATCAGTGTAATATAACTATAATTCCAATGCAGTAAGAAAATTTGTCTTGGTCATGGGCTTTTATAGAGGAATATTTATTGAAACTCTTACAGATATTACCGTTGTACAACATTGTGCAACCTTTTTTTCTCCCACTGGCAACTGACCTAATATTTGTAGCATGGATTGCAGCGTGGGTAGGTCCTGTTTTAGTCATGATGGAGTCAATCAATCTAAAACAAAAGTAAACCAGTATTTTTGAAAGTTCTAATTTTCCATAAAAATAAAATCACCTTAAAGCTGCTCTATATCACACGAGCTGTTTTTCCTTCAGTAGCATAAAAACCAATTTGTGATCTCAGGATTCCTAATGTGATGGTGTAGGACCTTTTACAAGTGGCTGAAACCTTCTCTGAGAAAGGAAAAATAGTCTCTCTCTTAAGGAGCTGCATAACTACAGTTTCTTTTCTGCTTTAAGCTACTCTTAATATTGAGCCCTGATTTAGCAACAGCTTGTGGCATCTGTGTAGCCGGGTGTGGACATAGATTAAGATGGCAGCAGCCATCAGGAGTCATACTTCCTACAGGAGACATGAATAAAGCAGCAAAGGAGAGGAGCAAAAATAAAAAAAACTACAGTCTGCAAAACTTAAGAGATTAAAAACAAATCTGGCAGAGGGGGCAACGAAAATGGGATGTGAATTGACATGTCATAATAGGGCAGCCCAAACGTTTATTCATTACAAGAGTGGACTGTCAAAACAGGAAAAAAGTTGAAAATTTAGTCTGTGAACACCCACAAACTGGCTCTATGCACAAAAGCTGAGTCAGTGGGGTGTTCCCATCATAAGCCATGGAAAACCTGATGCTTTTTTTCCTTCCTGCTTGCCAAGTTTATTCAGAGCAGTGACGCCACATGAGCAGTGGTGCGTTTATTAGAAACTCGATCAACTTATTGTTACAAGGAGCAATGGAGCTTTAGGTGAATTATGGCAGCTATGCTTCACTTCTGGAAAGCCCTGTTCAGAAGCTGATAATAAATCTGATTTTCACAGTCAGGTACATAACGACAGTGGTGTTCTGAGACACAGATAAACCCCAGCAGTTGTGTTGCAATTTATATTTGAGACAGTAGATGGCATTGCTAAATTCTAGAATCACAACTGGTGCAGATCCAGCTCCTCCATCTCTCAGTTAAAGGTGCTGCTCCTAAGGCCTCCTTCAGCTGTCCAGCCACGGGCTTGAGCTAACCTAAACACTGCATCTGAAAAACATACAGCTGGGTCTTTTTTTCTGATGGGCATGAGAAGGATTCCTACTCTCAGAATTCTGTTACGTTTTCCAAGAAAAACTGAAAGACACTTCGTTTTGCCATCTGACACCCTGTTAGAGGTGATCAATGGGCAGCTTTGGTTGTCTCATCCTATGATAACTTGTAACCCAAGTAATTGTGCTTAGTACCCTCACCTGTGCCATTTTTCAGAGATGTTGAGTTATTACCTGAAACTAAAAACCACCGAATTTCTTTTCCCAGTCAAACACACTAGACAACATTGCCTACATCATGCCTGGACTTTGATGGGAAAGGATCCTGGGATGTACTCAGCCTCTGTGTAACTGACTTGTGTATGTGCACTACGCCAACGTTCCTGAGGGGCTCCATGTGGAGGCTTTTAAAGTTTTATATGTGTATAGTATATACATAGGATTGTAACTATTTGACTTCTATTTTATGAAAAGTTGTGAACTTAAGCTGAGAAAACCCTTTTGTGTCGGTGGGTGAAATGTCCTCCAGTGTGAAAGTATTTTGTATGAAGAATTCAGAAAGCTTTTGAGATATTTGCCTTAAATTCAGATTTAGTGGGGGAAGCAAACAGAGAATGAACTTCTCAATATAAACAAGAAAGCTGTCACCATGAGAAGGGTCTTTGAAACAGGTGGCCCAGAGAGGTTCTTGACTCTCCTTCCTTGATGATATTCAAAAACCGAATGAGCAGCCTGCTGTAGTTGGACTTGCTTTAAGCAGGATGGACCCGATGATCTCCTGCTGTCCCTGCCTAAACTAAAATATTCTGATATTCTGTGGGCAGGTAGAGATGATACATTTTGGACCAGGGAATAGAACTGAATTCTTCACCAGCCCTATTTGTAACTATTTCTGTTTAAAACACACTTCTTGAGGGAAAAGCTGGATAGCTTTTCACCTCTTGGTCACTTTATCCAACCCCCACACCTGTCAGTACTAACTGAAAGTTGTCAGTGTTGGCTGGCTGGTCTACTAGCTGGTATTTGAAGTGAAGTAGATGACAAGAAGTTTATTTTTTCCTTGTGGACTCAAATCATTATTAGCACAATGTATCAACCCATTGCATTGGCTTGAGAGAATGAACCTCCTGCTGATTTTTCCACGGCATGGTCAGCCTGCTTTGATGGAAAGGAGTAGAGAAGCAGATGGGAAAAACTTGGATTGCTTCTGCCCATCTTGCACCTGTTTTGTGAAATGGCTCATCCACCATCTCTCTCACCAGCACTATTGCAGGAGCTGTGGTGCTGCTGCAAGGCAGCGACCAGTGGCCAGTTTGAGGCAGTTATGGCCAAGGAAGGCATATGTGGGTTGATTGGACTGGTTTCCCTTCCTTCCAGCCACATACTTGGAGTTTGGTTTTCTGCTCCTCTGGAAGAGGAGCAGCAGAACACTTGATTCCTGTTTAGGCTTTTGTCTGTGTGTATGTATGTGTATGTGGTGTTCATATCACATGTATTTAACTTTTACCAATATCTGTAACAGATTTTAATTTATCCTGTATATTTCTCTGTGTGTGTGTATATATTTATATATATATACATAATTTAAAAGCAAAAATTCCTCCCTCAGCCAACAGTTTGTGAAAAATGTGAATCAAGTTTGTCTCAGCTCACTTCCTGCAGGAATCAACTCTATGTATAGTAGTAAGCATGGGCATTGTGTAAAGAAACACCAGGAAGATTCTAAGAGTTTGTAGAAACAGGCTGTCTTGTGAAGGTGGGCAGAACAACTGAAATATCATTTGACTCAGGCCTTATCAGCTCTCTAACAGGAAAGTTTTAAAATTAGAGACGAGGCATTTTTTACTTCCAAGTAAGTCTAGCTTCTGTTTTTTAGGACAGTTGAAAGTGAGCTGTCCTTCATTGTGGCTGAGTCCCAAATCAGAAGTAAATTAAATCCTGGGGTGTGGAGGATTTTTCTCCCCATGCCTCTTTGCCACGTATTCCCCAGATGTGCCTGTACAAGGTAGTCTGTCTCTTACAGAACTTTTCTCAGTGCAGTGAGGGGTTTTCTCAGCAGAGGAGGCACAGAAGGTTCTCAGTCCATCAGGCCAGAACACATGTTTTAACAGCTTAGGACAAATCCCAGTGAGCCTGGAAATAGGAAGGGCCCAGGAAGGAAGCAGTCCAGTCCTGCTTCAGATCCTGGCCCACACTAAAGCATCTGCTGTTGTGAGCAGCACAAAATAACTGGTTCTTTCCAGCCCTTCACAGTTGGGAGCATTGTGGTGAAGGGGTAGATCTGCTTTTGAAGAAACAGAAGGGGATCAACCTTAGCTTTGTCCTCTGTACAACTGAAAACTCTTGAAGAGTGAAAAACACATACCCTGGTGTATTGTATTTTTATTAAAATTTGTACACTTTGTATAATCTGTATCTTGTGGTATTTGGTACTATAAGGAAACTTTGTCAAGACTTAGCAGTTTTTATATTTTTGTTATTTCTTTGCTGTTTGGTCCAGATTACATTACAATTATACACAGACTTTTTTGTACTGTACTTACAATATAATTTTTTTTAAAACTTCTGGAGTATTGTCATTTATTTATGGCATTTGCTGTTTTCTGCAGCTGTTGTTACTACTTGTATTTACTGTTTCTCAGCAAAACACATCCAATCCTAACCCTCCTAAACTCACTCACTTGGCAGGCAAGCTGTACTGTTTCCAGCAACACCAGTCACCCAAATTATCACTCAGGTTCCTGACTGCTTGGGACCCCCCAGAAGGGAGATGTAGCATGGAGCACTGCAGGTAACACCAGGGCATTTGTCTTCCCTGCTGCCTCACCTCAGTTCAGCTTCCTGGCGTTCAGGTGACACCAGTACACGGGACTCAGGTGTGTGATGCAGGAAGTCAGGCGTGGCAGCGTTAGACCAGGATTTGTGCTGGTTATTAACACGTCCCCATTTTCCAGATATGGGTGTTGGTTGATTGCAGCCTCAGCTTGGGCAGGGCAGTTGCTTAGGCCAGGAGCACATCCCAGAACGTGCCAACCACCTGGGTAGAGTCACAGGATGGTTTGGGTTGGAAGGGACCTCAGATCATTTCCAACACCCCTGCCACAGAGACACTTTCCACAAAAAATTTGCTCAAAGCCCCATCCAACCTGGCCTGGAAGACTTCCAAGGATGGACATCCACAACTCGGCAACCTGTCCCAGTGCCTCACCACCCTCACAGTAAAGAATTTCTTCCTAACTCCTACTGAGAGTATCGGGAGTCCTTCCTACTCACACCGGGCTATGGAAAACTAAAAACCCATCGCCACAGGCTCTCCGGGCTTTGGGCATCGCCCACGCTCGCGGGTGTCCTGCACGAGCTCGGCGTGGCTGCAGAAAGCGGCGGCGGCTCTCGGCGGGAGCCCCTCGGTTCCTGCGCCCGGGGCTGAGGACCAGCGGGACCAGGGACGCGTCGGCTTGCACACGGCCCTACCCCGGCAGCCGCGGCCGCCCCGCGCCTCCCTCAGCCCGTGGCACGGCGGGGCCGGTCCGGGCGGCGGCCGGTGGCGTCACAGCGGGGCCCGGCGGGGCCCGCCCCGGCCGGCGCGCGGTCACGTGAGCGGCGGCGGCGGCAGCGTCAGCTGATCGCGGCGCGGCGGCGGCGGCGATGGACTTTCTGCTGGGGAACCCCTTCAGCTCCCCCGTGGGGCAGCGCATCGGTGAGAGCCGCATCCGCGCCCCCCGACCCTCCCCGCGCCCCCGCTCGCCCCTCCGGCCCCGCGCCCCCGGGGCGTCCGCCGGACCCTTCCTCGGGGAAACGCCGGCCCCCGCCTCCGCGGCGGGACCAGCAGGGCTCTGGCCAATCAGGGGAGAGTTCTGCTCTGACTGACGGGTGTTGCGGACCAATAGCGAGCGCGCAGCCCGAGGCGGCTCCGTCGGGGGCCCCGCCAGCCAATCCGTGCGCGAGGGGGTCTCGGGGTGGCGAGGTGAAGTTTGCTCGTTTAAAGGGGCCGCAGGCCGGTGGTCCGCGCCACGCCCCCTGCATCGCCGAGCCCCGTGATTGGCTTGGGGCCATTCCCGCCCGCGCCTCTTCGGGGGCTTCGGGCAGCTGCTGATTGGCTGGGCTCCAGCCAGGGCAGCCTATCGCGGCCGGGCGGGAACGGGGTGCGTGAGCCGCGGTGGCATGAGGGGCGGCCTCGAGAGCCCGGGGCTGTGGGACGGGGTCAGTGAAGGCTGTGGGGACAGCGGGGCTATGGGGACAGCGGGGCTGTGGAACAGGGTCAGTGAAGGCTGTGGGGACAGCGGGGCTGTGGAACGGGGGCAGTGAAGGCTGTGGGGACAGCGGGGCTGTGGGACAGGGTCAGTGAAGGCTGCGGGGACAGCGGGGCTGCAGGGACAGCCGGGCTGTGGGGACAGCAAGGCTGCGGGCACAGTGGGGCTGCGGGGACAGCAGGGCTGTGGGATGGGGTCAGTGAGGGCTGCAGGGACAGTGGGGCTGCGAGGACAGCAGGGCTGTGGGACAGGGTCAGTGAGGGCTGTGGGCACAGCGGGGCTGTGGGATGGGGTCAGCCAGGGCTGTGGGGACAGCACACTTGTGGGGACAGCAGCCTCAGGCTGGGCTTGCCCAGTGGGACCAGTGTCCCCTACCCGAAGGACTCAAGCGCTGGGCAGCTGGGGGTGTTTGCCTGCCCTGAGCCTCCCCGCACTGAGCTGTGGGACAAGCGGAGCCTGGCAGGGCCTTGCCCTGGCTCCTGCAGCACGAGCTCTTCCATCTGGCTGTGCCTCACAACATGGAGCACCAGCTCCCGCAATGAACACAGCACCCACCCTGTGCCCTGGCAGACCCATGGGCACATGTTGGGTGTCCTGCAGTCCCTGTGCTCAGGGCAGATGGGGAACATGGGAGAAGGATGTGGCCTGAGAAAGTGGAGCAGAGATGCCACAGTTAGAGAGAAGAAGACTGTCAACAGCCGCACTGGTGTCAGAGCAGGGATGCAGTTCTTAAAATGCTTAGAATGAAGACTCGCTGTTCCCGTGTTGTATTGCCTAAGAGCCTTGAAGTTGTGCTTGAAGGCTGATGCCTATTTAAACTCTCCACTTGTGAGTTCATGCACTTGCTCATTCTTGCTGTTCACTGCTTGTCAGACCTTTGCTGTTTGCTGTGAACATCCGGTCCCACATTCAGTCTTTTTGGTGTCCTTGTATGGGTGAATAGGAGGCTGTGCCTGGGGTGGGAACAGAGCAAGCAGCTGCTTTAATTAATGCTTTTATTATAATGATTTTAGAGGCTACCCTAAAACTTTCCCAAAGTGTGTCCGGGGCATTGTGATGTGCCACTCTGGTGTTGGGACAGATAGGTGAGATCCATTACAGCCAGGTGGTGGAAGGATCATCAGGGAAGACTTTGTGTTATCAAAATCCTCCAGATGATCTTCAATATACCCCCAGAACATCACATGTTTAATCACATGTTCTAGAAGAAGCCGTCTCCTGCTCTTTCCTGAATGAATGCTCTTTGTTCCCTCAGTGAGTGTATCAGATATGTCCTTGTGTTTGGGTAGAGGCAATCTGAAAGTTGCCTCACAGATCTTCTGGTCAGTTTAGTAACCAGATTGTAAGTGGGTTATACCTCTAGGCTTTGTTACAATTAAATAAGGGATTCCCAAGCAACAGACCAACACCAAAGAAGAGGAAAAAAGAAAAGATATTTCAAAAGTGTCCGAGAGGAGGTGAGAAGCAGAGGTGTGATTCTAGGGAGTTCTTACTGGCTGGGGGTTTACTGGGGCTATGGAAGTCCAAAGAAGTGGAGGAATTACAGCATATGAGAAAGGAACTCTCTGGAGGACCTGAAAGGGGTGGTGATTGAAAATATGAATATGAACATTGCCTATCAACATTCTGGGGATGTGGATAAATGCTATCTTCCCTGCTTAATTTGGGACACAAACATGACTTCCCCAAACTCGTTTGGTAGGTCTGTGTCAGCTGTGTGTCCAACCCCTGAGCCTGATCACCAAACCTGCACAGTGCTGCTGCCCTGGGCTGTCTGCAGAAAGATAATGCTCCGTCCTTGTAAATTATTTGGGCAAAGTCACGTATGCTTGATATAGCTTATAAAGTCTAAAATAGCTTTAGATGAAGGCTAAGGAAAAAAAAAGTCCTCTGTGGCCACTGCAGCAACGTTCTCAAATTCCTTCATTAATGTTAATCTAGTAAGACCCATTTATTTTGCTGACTAGGAAAGCAATGCTCAGATAATCTCAGTGATCTGTCACAGAATGAGTCAGTTGCAGAGGAGTAGGTTTTCTAGTTTCTTACTCACAGTTCTGAGATTTAGTCACAAAAGTTGCCTCTCCTGTTTTTGCACTGTGATGTCTCTCCCCAGGAGGAATACAGACTCAGTTGTTTGAGATTTTTTTGTATTTGCTTCTGTTGTGTGGTGGGTTTTTTTAAACACCAGTGGGAAAATTTCCAAAGAGTGATAAAGCATCATAGTGCAGATTCCCCTCTGGAAAGGGAAATCCACTATGCCTCCATCTAGGAGCTAAGAGAAGCTTTTTTCCATTTTCAAAATGGAAAATCTAATTCCAAGGAGGTGAATTGTCTCTAAGTGAGAGAATGGAGAAGAAACCACCACATGAGCTCTCTCCTCACCCTGGAAGTCTAAAATAACTAGTAATTATAGCAATACCAAAAGGGACACAGGCAGGTTATTTCAGTGAGTGAGGGCAGCAGGCAAGGGATAGAAGTAACGGTGTAGCACAGAGATGACACAGATGTTTTTTATGGACAGGGGTTATTTTAAGCATGAGGACCAGGAAAAGTCGAGGCTGTAAAGAGGGAGCAAGTAAGTAAGGCTCCTGGGTGAGGAAGAGAGGCAGTTGCAAAACAATATACAAGAAGAATCACCACAACCTTTTGGATCCCACCTTGCAGGTGTTGCTGCACCCCTCTGTGATCTTCTGGTCCCTGCAAGGTTGTGCTTCTCAAAAAGTCATTGCCTTGTCTTCTGTGCCTCCTCTGTCTGGAGTAAAAGGGGCAAACACAGCAGTTGAAGAGTCACTTGATCCCTGAGAATTTGAGCTGATTCACAGGAAAGGAGCAGGAGTTCAGAGACACACATACCCACACCACTGTGTCAGCGCAGTCTGTGTCCATCACCATCCTTGAATTAGGTTTGGAGCCGTATCTCTGGTCGCTCTAGAATGCACGCTGTGCTCTCGGGCTTTGGGGGAAGGAAACAGCTAAATGGTGAAGTCCTGACAGAGCTGGTGCTGAAGTTCCCTCAAGGGGAGTAAAAGCACGAGGCTTGTACAGGATGATTTGGGCCTGTGAGTTTGTGAACTGAAATGAAGTTGGAAGAAGGGATATCTTGCATTCCTTTCTGCTGAGCCTAAGCTGTCTCATGCCATGAACTGCTGGTGTCCTCAAACGCCTGTTGAAATGGGTGAGAAGGTGCTTGATGCTTTGCTGAGGAACTTAGAGCCAGCAAGAAGCACTGCAGGGAGCATGGTTTGAAGGCTTCACTTGGAGGAGGCGCAGAGCATATCAGGCAAAGGATTTCTCAGCGGCATCTGGCTGGTTATGGGTGCTTCAGGTCTGGGGTGGGGAGCAAAGGGGACAGGAGCCTGCACAATACCTTCTGTCCCTGGCTCCTGTACTTCCCCACACTTCTGCAGTGCCGGTGTGCTGCTGCAGGGACAGCTGAGTGGGATCCCCAGCTGCACAGTCTGCTCTCCCCTGCCACCAGGGCAGACATAATAACCTTGAAAAGAAGCAAACTTGTGAAATGTACTCATAGCACAAAGCAGTGTACAGATCCTTTGCACCAGTTATGCCAAGTGTTTGGAGTTCTTCATTATCTGCTGGTTCCAAATAACTTTTATCACCTAGCTGCAGTCAGCAGGAGCACATCCAGTGCCATGCAGGAAAAGAGCCCATGCTCTGGTTCAACCCATACCACAGTCCTGCACAGTTCTGGGTCCATCTGAGCAATTTGTGAGGCAGCAGACTGGAATCAGACAAACCCCAATGCTGTCACACCCGGGGAGCTGGACTGGCTGCCAAAACAATGTGGCTTTGGAGCAGCCCCATGAAGGGCCTCCTGTACATTCAGCAGCCGATGGTTTGGGGCTTGGATGGGGAATGGCATTTGCAGGCTCACGATAACCTCTGCCAGGGGAATTCCCTGCTGCAGGTCAGGCTCAGCTGGTAACACACACAAGTAGATGCTGCCTGATGACCACCAGGCAGAGTGCTGGGTGTGTGACAGTGCCCTGCCTCCTGTGCTCGCTCTTTTTAGGGACTTGTCGCTGTCCCCAGCCATCCCAGGCTCAGATTTCGTGTGGAGCAGACAGCTCATGTGCTAATTACAGCTCATGAAATGGGGCCAGCCACCCTGATCCTTCATGTGACTAATTAAACTTTGTTTCCTTCCCTTCTGCAGGCTTTACAGAAGGGCAAAGTTCAGGATTTTGGAGAAAACTCCATATCTTACTAGGCTTGGACAGCCCCTTACAGCTTGGAAGAGAGCAAGGAGGATTAGAAGGGCATTAGCTCCAGCTTTCCCTATGCCAACTAGGCCAGGCCTTAATTTGTACTGGGTAAATTCAAGCCTTTTGTCCTTGGAATTGCCTCAGGGTCACATTCCTGTTTTCCATATGCTCTAATACTGCTCTTCCAGCTTTGCATTTTGTGACCCTGTGTTGTGTTTATGGCAGGTTTGGTGCTTTCCTGCAGCTCTCCCTTGATGAGTGTATGAACTGGGGTGATGGGATCAGGATGGCCACGACATTGTGGGTAACAGGGGCAGGGTGTGTCACTTCTGAGGAAGCCCAGTTTTCCCCTAAATGGCCAGGCAGGTGAAGGAACACACATGGTTTATTTACATTCCTTTCTGAAAAGCAAACCTGCTGCTTGACCTTGGCAGGATTGGTGCATTTGGAGGGAAAGGGTGGTGGGGAGCAGGTTACAGTGTGCCACCAAACATTGGGAAATGAGGAAAGGGTGTTTGCAGATTAAATTCATGTTTGTGTACAATGCGAAGGAAGGTTGGGGAGATTTGAACAGCAAGGATTGATGGTTAAATGCAGGTTTTATTTTGTCCTTTGTTTTTTCTGTAGCTCAGAGCTTCCAAGCAGGCTCAGCCCTGTTCCCAAGTTGTGGGTTTTTCCTTCCATGTGCAGTGAGAAGAGTGGATGTAGACTTCACTTTCAGCAGAGCAACCCCCGTGTAGTGGATTTCTGTGATTCATTGCCAGTGGCAGCAAACAGTGCAGGGAAACTTCTGACTTGTTCAAACCATGATGTGTCATGAGCAGGGGATCCTGGAGGAGAGTGCAAGTGAGGGGGGCTTTGTGACCACATGATCCAAACCCATCAGACTGACCTGAGCTGCAACCTGCCTGCCAGCACGGCTGTTGTCCCAGGGCAGGAGGAAACCTGGAGCTCTGTACTGTGTCCTGATCCCAAAGGAACCCCAGTGGAAAATATTTTCCCTCATGTGTTACCACAGTTTCCCCCATTGGCTGGTACATGCTCTGGTGCACCAGACATGTCTATTGCCCTGGATGTATTCTCCACCGGATCACCCAGTGCAATCCTTCCTCCTGTGCCTCACTGAGGAAGCTTGGATCTGCCAGAGATAAGGATCCCTATGTAAAGTTAATACTCAAAGTGACAAAAGTTTACCTGAATCAAGGAGCCTTAAGGTTATTCCAGTAATAGCCAGACCTTTGGAAAGGTGGAAGAGCATCAAGAACAGTCTGCCACTCTCCTTCCCTGTCTGCCCTCTTCCATCTGGCTGTGGCCACAATGTCATCACCATAATCACTGTGTAATCAATGCATTCTGTAGCCAACAGAAAAGGTGGTGGCTGGATTGTGATAAGATGCAGATAGCTTCACACTGTGGTGTGCAATCTGTGGGAGGGACACGTGTAAGAGGCTGCATTGCACAGTGCTGTGAATAGCTCTGTGCCTGACCCTAAACAGGACATGATGGATGTGCTTACCCAGGCAGGAGTTAAAAAATCTTCTTCCTGTGTTACGGCCTTATCTCAGTACTGTGTGAATGGGCATTTGATTTCATTCCTACACAGGGATCATTAGCTGCTGGGTCAAAAGCAGAAAAAGGCAGCTCTGCAGAGGAAGGACCTCTCTAAAGGGGTAGAGAACCCACAGCAGCGAGGGAGAGCCGCAGATTTTGCAGGGACAGCAGTTTTGAAAATGCAGGCATTTCTGTAAGTACCTTGCTGGGACTGAGCTCTCCTGAAGAGCACCTGGTAAGTGCTGAACAGGTCTGGCCAGTTTTAATTCTCTTGCCCCAGTGCTAAGTCAAGAGTTTTGTAGGATGAGAGAGCTGGAAAGGATGGTTCTTGTCATCTGCTTGCCATTAGCTGTGTCTGTGTTTCCCTGTGGTCTTGGGAGTGCCTGGGTCCTTCTGGCCCCACTGGCCATTCTCTACTGGTGGTGTTCCTGAAGGCATCAGTCAAAGGCATAGCTAGGACTGAGACATGGATGATTACAGGGTGGAGGCACTGGTGCTCCCAGTAATAGCTGCTCATTTCCCAAATCTCTGCCTTGAATAAATAACATCAAGGCTGACTGAGGAATTCCTAATTAAAGGGGACACAATCAAAGCTGGAACAATATTGCTTCGACTTGAGCCTGCAGTTTGCTTCTGCCCACACTCCCTAGAGGCCAGAAGTTCAGGGGAAAGGTGTAAATATTAAACAAGAGAAACCCTGCTTTGGTTTTCTATGTTTGCTTGTTTGTTTTTATAGAGCTGGTGTACAAAAAAAAGGGGACTGATTCTTTTGTCTACTTAAGTGGTACAAACCAATAATTGGAGCTATTTGCATTAGATCTGTATCAGGGTGAGTGGGCTGAACTCAACAGTTTCTGGCCTTGCAGGAACAAAGCAAATAAGTCCCCTTTTCTTTAGCTGTGGAGCTGAAGTTATGCTGAGCCCCTTCCCTTCATGTGCAGGGCACCAGAGGTCACACAGAGTCTGTTTGTAATGTCAGTAGCATTGGTGGCATGGGCAAAGCTGGGCACCCACCATCCCAGCAGTGTGCTCTGCCATGGTGACACCTAGTGGGGAGCACTTGGTGACCCAGAATTTGCACATGAATTTGCCTCCTTATATTTTGTAGTGGCAGCAAGGGAGAAGCAGGCTGGGGCCTGGGGTCTTCTGGGAGCTTAAGAGTGCCAGGGCTACTCTTCACCTTGGTTTCTGTTTTTCAGAGAGAGCTACCGATGGGTCCCTGCGGAGTGAGGATTGGGCTCTCAACATGGAGATCTGTGACATCATTAACGAGACTGAAGAAGGGTAAGGGAGCTGGCAAGGGCCCATATTCAGGGGCAGGTCCCTGAATTCCCTATAACACCACATCCTAGGCTGCAGTAGTAGCATGCACTGCTGGAGGTAATAAGCTAGGCTTCCCAGCAATCCCTGAGACAAGACTCTGCTAGGAGACCTAGAGATGTAGCAAAGCTGTCAGAGCATTTATTAGATGCTTTTCTATAATCTTGGTGTGCCAGGAGCCATTCAAACAGGCCTTCAGGGTCCCCAGACAGCCCTCTGTTCAAGCCAGGCTGCCTCCCACCTCCAGAAGGCATATTTGCATTTCTTCCACTTTGATTTATTCCCCCTTCATACCCTTCTCTTTCTCTCCTCTGGGAATGTAAAAATCTAAAGGCTGGTGACTGAGAGAAGAGGGGGAAATCTCAGGCTGCTATTCAGTCCTCTTACTGTGCCAGTCTTTCTTGGGCTTCTTCTCAGGTATTTTCATGTACAGTCACTCAAAAACACACAAAGTGGGTGGGGGAGCTCTTTTCTCCCTCTCCCTACAGGAAGATGTTCATCAATCTGCCAGACTTGTTAACTCAGGAGCTGGGGATTTGCCACTGAATTCAAGGGAGAATGCTCCTTCTCACAGTGGAGATATCAGGAGCAGCATGTAAAAAAGAAGGTGCTACATGGAATAAAACATGTAGGTTTTACTCCTGCTGTCCTACCCCACAGTGATGTTGACAGAGGATTAGCAAGCCCAGTTTTCAGCTTCACATGTATGGAAACAAAGTCAAACACCTCTACTTACAGATCTGTCACCACTCCTTTTCCACTATCCCCACGGTGCAAATACATCTGTCTCTGTCCACAGTTCTCAGGCCTGAGCTGTGGCTGCTTTCAGGTCTGGGCACCTGATAACACAGCTGGACAGGCTCTCCTATTGTCCTGCTAAGGCCCATCCACTGACACCAGGCTGCCCCACAGGCCAATACACTTCTGCCCTCCTCACTGAGTCAGTGTCTCCACCCCACTTTTCTCCTCCAGCACCGCTGCTCTTCCAGCTCAGCTTCTCCTCCTGTGCTCTGAATCTGGTTCATTTGTGCCCTCTTAAGACCACAGTGGACTGAGACCATGGTGTTTCTCCCCTCTGAGGATGGTTAATCAGGGCCTGCTATACTGTTGCTCTCTTACCCACCTGCCCCATACAAGCAAGATTTTGCCAGTGTGTCTCTCCTGCAGCTTTTGAGCATCCTTCTCTCTGGGGAAATGTTAAATAGCTCCTCTTTGAGTAACACAGGAATTGCTGCAGATTGGTCTCTCCTTCCTGTTTGTAACCCATGCCAAGCTTTTCTGTGATCTCCTCCTCTTCAGTCTCTCTGCCATGGGATTTTGCTCTACCCCCCAGGAGTGTGTTTCTAGCATTGTTTTTAGTCTGTTCTCTCTTGTGTCCTGAACACCTTGACCTGTTGCAGACATCAGCACAGAGGCCTCTAATTTCAGTAATAGCACTCAGGGGCATGGCTTAATGGTGGACTTTGCAGTGTTAGGTCTATGGTTGGACTCGATGACCCTAAAAGGTCTTTTCCAACCTAAATGATTCTATGATCAGCCAACCTCACTCCTCTTGCAGAACCACAAGCAAAAGCTGCTTTACCAATCACTGCTTCAAGCCATGCTGAAAACATGGTGAAGAGGGACACCTGCTGAGTATGAGGCATCCAGAACCTGTGGCTGTTTTTCTTTGCCTCAACCTTTTGATGATCTTTCTTCATCTCATTTCTCCTTCAGGCCCAAAGATGCATTCCGAGCCATTAAGAAGAGAATTGTAGGGAATAAGAACTTCCACGAAGTTATGCTGGCTTTGACGGTGAGCAGTCAGGGCTCTTTCTCTTCTCTGTGATACCCTGCTGTAAAGCTGAGTGCTGAACACAGGTTTTAGCATACATGCTGAACAGACTCATGTACCTAAAGCCAATAAGGCTAACACATGAGGACAGAGAAGGCTACAGCTAATGCTTTATTGCCTTTGAAGGTCCTGGAGACCTGCGTCAAGAACTGCGGCCATCGTTTCCACATCCTTGTGTCCAGCCAGGACTTTGTAGAAGGTGTCCTGGTGAGAACAATCCTGCCAAAGAACAATCCACCTGCCATAGTGCATGACAAGGTGCTGACCCTCATCCAGGTGAGCCAAGAAGTGTGAGCATCTGCACCATGCAGACAGTATGTGTCTTTAGGTGTTTGTACAGAAGGCTGTTGTACGTGCTGATGGGCTGTACTGTCTCTTTCTCCCCAGTCCTGGGCAGACGCCTTCCGCAGCTCTCCAGACTTGACTGGTGTCGTTGCTGTCTATGAAGACCTGAGACGGAAGGGTTTGGAGTTCCCTATGACTGATCTGGACATGCTGTCACCTATCCACACACCACAGAGGGTATGGGAGCATTGCTGAAGAGAAGAATGTTGGGCAGCTGCCATTCTGGAGCAATGAGGAGATTTCAGGAACTCTGTCTTGAATTTAGAGGATTTTTGGGTGTGAAATGTGAGAAGCTCCAGGACAGCCAAGAGCTGTTGGGACCAGCTGGGGAGCTGCCATCAATATTTCTCCTCTAGTTGCACTGTCCTGCCAAGTGTGTGTGTGTCTAACATTTCCTTCTCTCTGTCACTTTCCCCACCTTTGTAGACTGTGTATAGCTCCAACTCTCAATCTGGACAGACCTCACCTGCAGTCAACTCCCCTCAGCAGATGGAGTCCATCCTCCACCCTGTCACCCTGCCCCCCGGGAGAGGCACATCCAGCGACACGCCCATCACACCCACACCAGAGCAGGTGAGTTGGACACAAGTCCCAGGATGTTGCTGACTCTTCTTGTGTTTGAAGCTATTTCACAGACACTGTTCTGGGACTGCAGTACTGGTCCTGCCCGAGCCTCTGTCTTCACAAAGCTGTTCCTCTAAAGTACAGTCTTTTGAGAGCTCCCCAGAGCTCCATTGTGGTCACAGTGATTAACTGGGATACTGCAACCAACATTTCCCTAAGACAGGGCTGCTTGCAGGTAGAAGGAAGTGGGGTGCTGAGACATGATGCCTCCTTATCATCTTTGTTTATCTTGCCTCACTGCTTACTTTATATGAATCAACCCTATCTGGCTATGTGGTTTCCAAAGGCTTGGGCTTCCTCACTTGTTTCCCCATCCTCTTTTCTTCTTCCTCACCCTGACTTCATACAACACCATGTTCAGCACCAAACTCCTAGCTGTCAGTATTTTGCATTCCCTTGCAGAACAGAGGGTAGAAACTGTTCTAAAGAGGCTCAGCAGCAGCTTGTAAACCAGAGGACTAAAGCTTCAACTACACACTTAGCTGAGGCTCTCCTGTTGAATAGGAATTAATTGTTTTCCCCTGTCTTACACCACTTTGGAAATTAAACCATTTAAATGGCTACCACATGGGAGCTGTTAGCTGAGGAGAGATTTGAATCATACCAGCAGCATGTGCTGGCTATTAAAAATCAAGGCCGAGATCCCAGGTGAGGGCCTGGCAGCTGCTACCAGCAAATGAATTTGATGTTAAGTCATGGAGGGGTTGCCTGCTGGGAGCTCCTGAGAGCTAAAATGAGTGGTGACAAATGAACTCCCCAGTGGCTGTGAACAGGCATGCACACGTGGTGCCATTCCCTGCCTTCAGAGCTACCTCAGCCATGTCCCCGGCCTCCCCTGGCAGAGCTGTCACTCCACTTCGTTTTTGCAGATCGGGAAGCTGCGCAGTGAGCTGGAAGTGGTGAATGGGAACACAAAGGTGATGTCAGAGATGTTAACAGAGCTGGTGCCATCCCAGGCCGAGCCTTCTGACCTGGAGCTGCTGCAAGTAAGGAACACTGGGCAGGGTGGAGGGCTGGCACATGCAGCACAATTTAGCAGTGACTTGATGGACTGAGGCCCAATGCAGGCCAGGTGTGGGGAACAACTGGACAGTTTAGTGTGGGGCTTATCAGGGAATGAAAGGATAAGGGAAACACAAGGACAGTAGAGTTTCAATGGTGGATGAAAATTGCATTGCCAAGGCTGGAATTATTTCACAAGGGAGTTTGTAGTCCACAAGGGCCTTTCTTTCTGGGTAATGTGTAATACAAAAAGCATACAATTATTCTATGTAAAGCTTAGACTCAATTTACCTCTCACACCAAATATTTGTTGCCCATCAGCAGTTCCTGATAGATCCCAGTAGCCTCTGGAATCTGTGTTCCAGTCAGAATTCCAAATTTGTGAGTGCTCAGCCGTACTGTGACCTTTGTGGGTGGTGACTTTCCCTGCTTTGAACAGGAGCTGAATCGGACATGCAGAGCCATGCAGCAGCGAGTCCTGGAGCTGATTCCCCGTGTCCTCCATGAGCAACTCACTGAGGAGTTGCTCCTCATCAATGACAACCTCAATAATGTGTTTCTGCGCCATGAAAGGTACCTCTCTCCTCCCCTCTCTTCCCTGCTCTCCCACAAGACTTTACTGCCCTTGAAGACTGCCTATGCCACCCAGAGTATAATACTCGAGACGTATCAGTCTGTATCATCCATCTTTGAGAACAAAGCCAAATGTTCTCAATTTTTGCTGACTGAGTCCTGCCCCTTCAAAGCTGCTGTGTAAGTTCCTGATGGGGTATAAAGATGTCCCTGTGGCATAACCCAAAAGAAGGAGGCAACTGCATGGAAAGAGCTGGTTTTCTAGCTCTGAGAGAGATGGAGACAGAAAGGAATTGCCCAGATGGGATCAGCACTGCTTTTTTTTTCTTCCATTTCAACAAACACATCTTTGCTAGCTCATCCCCAGATGAACTGTAAAGGAGAGCTGTTAGTTACAAGTAACTGTGGAAGGTCCTAAGAAGCTTTCTCACACCACCTCTCCGGAGACATCAATTCTCTGGGTCTTACTGTGGTATCTTGAGGGGAAATTGGGCACTGAGCCATAGTTCCCCTTTCCTAGTGGGTAGGAAAGGGCAGACTGTGTCAAGTCTTACCAAAAGTCTCTTGGGCTGTGGGTGAATGAGCCCACACTACTGAAATGCATGCTGTCACCTTTCCTGCAGGTTCGAGCGACTTCGGACGGGACAGCCTGTTAAGGTAACTCAGAGCAACTGCCCCTCTCTGCAGCTTGGTTTGCATCCTGCAGGTCTAGCAGTGCCCTGCTGACTTGCAGGGAGGTTCAGTCTGCCCCATTTAGAAATGGTGGGCTTTGCTTTCCCAACCAAGCTGCACCAGAGCACCTGGTACATGGGACACTCCATTTCCGCTGCAAACCTCGCCTTCCCTGCCCAAAGAGCAAGAGCAGAGCAGCAGCAGTTATAGTTATTGAATAATGAGATTCCAATTCCCATATGAGCCTACTCTGAGCACTACCCTGTCCTCTGAACCAGCATTCACCCTACTTACTGACATCCAGCAGAGCTAGGAGGCTGGCTACCCAGGCATATGCTGCCCTGGGACACTATTCCTAGCCAGTTCTCTGATCACTGTCCCTCTTCTCCCTCTTCACAGCTGATATCTTTCAATGGGTGCAGAAGGGCTTTCCTCTCCAGTATCAATGAGCTAGGATTGTAGGGTCAGGGTATCCAAGCTTCAGAAACTCTCCACCATCTTCTTTTTTCTTCTTCCAAAGGCATCAAATGAGGCAGAGAACAGCTTGATTGACCTGGGACCCAATACTCCTTCAGCACCGAAACAGCCTGAAGTCACCAGCAACCTTTCCTCTCAGCTGGCTGGAATGAGTGTGTTGCTATGCGGTTTTCCCCTCAGTCTTTCTCCTGTGCTGCTTTGAAAATCCTTTCCTGCCCTTGAAGCATCTCCCAAAATTATTAAGTCAGATTCCTAGTGTAACCTAGAGAAATGCCATGTGTTTTCAACTAACAAATTCATGAAGAAACTTGTATATGCCCCAAGGCACTCAAGCATATGTCTTGGCATCCTCACCTCACATAGTGCAGGAGGTGGCCATGACTTAAGAAGGATCTCAGCATTAGTCTGTGGCTAAGGACCTGGCCTTTGGCAAGACTGGGGATAAAGTTGCTCCTTTTGCAATGCCTGGCAGCATTGCTTACTTGCCTCTCTTGCTGTGTGGTGTCAGGTTCACCACTGAGGTCTGAAAGAAGTAGAGCAGTTGAAGCTATGCTGCAAAGGCAGCCATGAGCTTATTGGGCCCAGGACCCAGGATTTGACAGGTCGTTTACTCAAAAAACCTGAGGGGTCCTGGGAGTTCTTCAAGACATACCAACAGCCTACGTAGCACTGCCTAGATGCAGTTGCAGAAAATTGGCACCAGACTTTTAACAGACAAGCCAGCTGAGATATTTTTCAAGTCAAGTGTTTTTTGGATGATGTCTGAGTCACGAAAATCCACTCATCTGTCTCAGAGGTGCTTGCCCAGAAGCACAGGTTATTTTCTTCCAGAGGTTATGGAGCAATTCCCTCCAGAGTTGTCTAAGATGGTCAGGAACATCTAGCCTCCAGCATCAGTAAATTCATGCTGCTGCTTCTGTCTGAAACTGAGCCAAAAATATCTACTGAGTGGGCAAAGAAATAGCTTCTGTTACTTCCCCCACAACTGCACACATGCATAGACTGTGCTGCAGCTGAGGAGCAGGATGGAGGAGTGGGCCTAGAGTAGTTAAGCCTGTTCTGATGACAGTTTTCCATCCAGCACTCTCCAAGCCCACAGTCCTCCCTTTACTGTTCTGTGCTGCCTGCTCACCCTGCTCTCTCTCCCACAGACCTGGGCTCAAGCAGTGTGAGTGCAGGGCTGCACTCCCTCGACACTTGTGGCAAGCTGGAGGAAGACTTTGACATGTTTGCCCTGACCCGTGGCAGCTCGCTGGCTGAGCAGCGCAAAGGGTGAGTGGAACAGCTTGCTCTGTCCTTTCTGCCTTCTTGCAAAGGACAAGGGCTCAGGGAAAATGGGGCTACACCCCGACCAGCAGCAGTTCCTGGAAGACAGCAGGATGAAACAGAAATGCACTCTTCACACACACAGTGTTTGTAGCACGAGCTCTGTGCTCCCAGTCCTTCTTCCTGCTTCCATCATCTCCCCTTCATGGTGTCCTCTGGGCATGGGGAGAAGGAATTGGTCTCCCACATGTTCTGGGAGATTCAGTGTGAAGTGGGACTGGCTCAGTTTTCTTGTTTGCCTCTGAAGTCATCTGTCCTGACTGGGGTGATGTTGAATTTGGGAATTGCTGAGTACTGATTCAGCCTAACAGAGTATTGAGCTGGAGTGCAGGAAGAGTGCAGTCAGTTGTGGCTTGCAAGAGGGCACTGTTCTGTGCCTCAGCTTCCCTGTTGGCAAGTGGGACCGATGTTTCTTCTTCCATGGTGCATTTGTAAAGTACTAAGAGCTGGGTCTCCATAGTGCTGGCTGAACTAAAGAGGCCTTCTCCACTGCAGAGTGGATTCCTGAATCCTTGTTCTGGAGGAGCTGGCAAGAGCTGTGCTGACCAGATCCCCTGGGTTTATAGACTGTGGCTGATCTCACGCTGCTTTGCCTGGCAGAGCCATTCACTGCTCTCCATAGAGTACCAAGCAGTAGAGCCCATGGGCCCATCGCTGCCTCCAGCCCTCCAAGGCCTGTGCTCCTGCACTCCTGCAGCCACTGGAGTGCCTTGTTCTGCAGCTGGCCATTAGCAAGTTAAGGTCTCTTACACGTTTCAAGTTAAGGTCTCCTAACGATGTCTCCTTCCATTCCTCTGCCTCAGACTGCTTCTGGTAAATGTGGTGGGGAAACCCATGGCCTACACATGACTTCATGTGTTTTGTCCCTGGGTTTCCCCACCGCTTTTACTGTGGGTTGTGCTGCCTGAGGACAGAGGCAGTCCAGCACAAAAACAGTTGTATCAACAGCACCCAGTCTGGGGCTGAAACCAGAGCCACTGGTATGTGCTCAGTGCTGGAGTTCTGGACAGAGGTGGAATTGTATCCTCTCTGCTGTAGCACAGTCCTTAACAGGCCGAGGCTTATGATCTCTGCACAAGTAACAAGACATCTTCTATTTATTCCTGCCTGCACTTGTACTCCTGCCAGGTAACCTCTAGTGGCTCAGGCTTCACATTTCACTGAGAGCCTCTGCTCTCAGTGTCTCCCTTCACTTGAACAGACCTATTGCTCTACAGCTCCCGAACAGGACGTGCTGGCAGAGCCTCTGGGGTTTGTTCTTGACCCCCCATGCTTCATGTGTGTCTCAGTGAGGGAGTGCTTAAGGCACTTCAAGCCTTTCCTGCCATTCTTCCTCATCAGTGGCATGATAGCAGCGCTGTACTTCATCCTGGATGCCATTGTCCACAGCGGCCCCTTCACTGATGAGCACTTCTTTGAGAAGTTTGAGCGGCGGTGGCCCAAGCCCCTGGCCCCCAGCAAAAACAGCTCCACTTGATGGTCTGCTGGATCTGTGGGATTGGGCCTGGGAACAGCTGGAGAGGAAACTTGTGGAGAGTTTCTGTGAAAGGCTTCATTTTCCTAGCATGGAGAGTTTTCCCCACTCGGCATGGATCAAACGGTGATGTGTGGCATTGTCATGTGCAGTAGCAGCCTAGAGGGGACACAGGATTGGGATGAGGGAAATTATGGGTGAGGCATGACTGTGTGTGAAAAGAGGTTGCTGTAATGGTGCCTTTGGAGACTTGGAAGCAACACTAAGCTCTTCTGATCATCCAGTCTCACCTATGGCCAGCATAGCTAGTGAACCTCTGCCACCATCACTTCTCATGTGGTATTAAAGAGCTGGTTTTGAGCTGTTTGTGTCTGTGAAGATAGGTGAGTATGTAGGTGAGGGCCTGTTGCTCAAGTCCTTTCTGAAATATCTGTAATATTCTGTTCAGTCTGTGTTAGTTTTTTCTCTTTATAGTCCACCCTAAAGAAGGTGAAGGTTGTGGTTAATGTACCTAGCTCTGTAAGTCTGTGTCTTGGTTTTCATGTAAGTCCTTGTCATCCTTCTGTCACTGTGCCAGGGCTGTCCTGTTGTATCCCACAATGTTCCAGTGAGTAGGTTGGTCTGTTTTGTGGTGGGCTACACCTATAACAAGGGCTTTGCATACTTTTCTAGAAGCTCTTGGTAGCAGAATGACAAGGCATGAAAAGTTGTGCAGTCATGTAGGAGTTCCTGCTCTTCACTCTCAGGCATCTCATCAGCCTGTTGTCTCCCTCTCTGATTCCAGGGTAAAGTATGAAGACCCCCAAGCCACCAAAGGCCTTGCTGGTGCCCTGGATGCCCGGCAGCAGAACACGGGAGCGGTAAGTGGCCACAGCTTTTACTGCATCACCAGGAATGAGAGTAACCTCCTGGCTCACCAAGGAAGTAAAGGTGCTGTCTGTTGGGAAAAAGTAAAGTGATGATAACTCCCAGTCTCTACCAACCTGCATTTCCTAGCTGGGCTGCATACCTCATTCTTTAAAGCCCTGAGGTGAGGAACTGTGAAAAGTCTGGGGTTGCCTCAGGCAGTTGAAGGATGTCCCTCCCCAGGGAAACTTCCACCTGGAAATGTATGTTTTATTCCTCTTCAGTAGATTTCCATGTCCAGTCACCTTCTCTCCGCAATCAGAGAAGTAGGCCACCAGTATCAGTATATTCTTTCCCCCACTTTAACCCCACTGCCTCCCCTCTCCCTCACACTGCAATGCAGACTCTCTGTCATCCAGGGGGAGTCTGGTGCCTCTAGTGATGGAGCCCAACTGACAAAGTGGATGATGCGTCAAGGAATGGTGAGATCTGAGGTGGTGGAGGGCCAGCAGGGAGGGAGGAGGCTGGGGCTGCTGAAACAGAAGCATCACTGGCACAGCACATGAGGATGCACAGCAGACATCAGCAGATACTGCTAACTGAAATGGAGCAACCCTGGGCTGGGCCAGTAGTGGAGACTAGGCTTGGGAAGGAAGCAGGCAGTGTGCCAGTCCTTCCTCAAGTAAATATATGTGTAGGAAAAAATCCTAGGAGCTCTGAGGCCAAGAGAGCATGTGCCACTCTGAGCTAGAGGATGGCCTGTTTTGGGGTGGGTGTCTGAGGCAGAGGCAATAGCTGGTGGCATCATGAGGGTGGCTGCTGCCATTCATTCTCCTTGCAGCCTCTCCTTCTTAACACAAGGTGCCTTGTTTGAAGGAAAACACATTCTGACTTTAACCCTGTTGAAGGCCTCCTCCTGTAACTAATGATTGAGCTTTCAGGCATTTGAATTTGGTCTTTTGGCAGCAGGAATTCCTGCAATTACATTCCCTCAGGCACACAGAGGTTTTGAGCTCCTAGGTCTGAAGCTTGTTAGCCTGTCTTCCTATAATGGGCACAGCCCAAGCTGATGTCTGCTCTAGGAAGTTTCCCCACATGCTGTACAGTTGGCTTGAATGCACTTCTACCCCAAAGAGATCCTCTCTGGGCAGCCAGTTTGCTTTGAAACTTCCCTAATCTCACACATCCTCTTCCATTCCCATTCGTCCATCTGCCAGCTGTGATAACTATCTGTGGTTGCTCCCTGGTTTGAGGAAATCTGTCTTTGGTACAAAGGTGTTGCTCTTTTTCTTGGTCTTGGTGTTTCCTGAGGGCAAGGGAGCTATATATATTAGAAAACTAATAAATAAATTCCCACAAATACTCTCTCATTCTTCTGCTTGGGGAGCCTCTAGCAAGGACTGCTTCTTGCTCAGCTTTGTTCAGGAGCTCATGACTGGAGAAAAGGATCTGGGGTTTTGAATCAGACTTTGTTTCTTTCAAGGTTACCTCTGTCCACTAGGAATATGTCTCTTTGCTGTTTAAATTGACCAGGGCTATGAATTCTTCTGAGCTAGCCTCATCCCTACTGGAAGTAAAATTTAATTGTAGATGACTTCCTCTTTGATGGGTCTGTTTCAGTAGTTTGGCGTGATATCAAATCCTGCTGTGCTCCATGATCATACCAAGGAATCAGTTCTTGGCAGGTGTCTTTCCCGCTTTGTGTGCTGTCAGACCTGGCACCTCCAATATCTTCAGCATTGCAGAGTTTGACATCAGATTGTCACTGGTTTGTAGAGGGAGAAGGTGTAGAGAAATGCATGTCTCTTGTTCTCTGGCTGCCTACACAAGCAGACAACTTCCACCTAGTGGGTCCTCACCAAAAAGCAAAGTCTGGTCCAGTCCTAAAATCCCAAAGCCAACCACCAAACCACAGATGCTTTTAATGGCATGTATCCTGGAAACTGTGTGTCTGGGCATGGATGGGACAGAGGAAGCAGGTAAGCAATGGCACAGATATCTGGGGAGAGCTTTGTAGTGGCACCAGCTGGATTTGGATGGGCCTGAGCTGACTGAACGATGGAGTGAGAGGCTGAGCTTCTGAGTTGGGCTTTCTTTTTGCATTGCAAATCCATTCCAGTGGATTTACTTGGAACATCCTCTATTTTCTTGGCCTCACTGCCCTTTTTCTTTCTGTCCCAGGTACCAGTTCCTCAAGCCAATTTCATGGAAGACATAGAAAAGTGGCTCTCCACTGACGTGGTAAGTGAGGGGCTGCCTTCTTGGAGCCAGCAGTCCTGCTGGAGTTTCCTGTGGGGCTGGACTTCAGGCAGTGTATAACAGCACTGTCATCGCTGAATGTGTGGCACAGACTGCTGGGAGGGACCAGGGAAGGAAAAGCCAGGGCCACAGGCTTTGGGATACCATAACAGCATCATCAGCCTTCTGGGAGCCATAGCTAATGAACTGACGGCCCCTCCAACATGTCTGTACTGTGGAAGTGGGGGAAACACTGTCCTGTCTCTCTGTGTGCAAAGAATCACATCTGTGAGATGCCTTTACCTACCTTCCTTCTAACCATGCCCTTCTCCTTCTCTGCTAGGGAGACTCAGAGGATCCAAAAGGTGTCACCAGTGAAGGTGAGATGTGCCAGCCAGCCCTTGTCTTTAACTGTTCCTAGCAGCACTTCCTTGGCTCTTCCACAAACCTCCCTCTTTGCTAATGCTCTGCTCTTCTCTTGCCCTCAGAGTTTGACAAATTTCTGGAAGAGCGAGCAAAAGTTGCAGACCGTCTCCCCACTTTGTCCAGCTCCTCAGCAGGGACGTCCCTCTCCCCTCCTGCTGCCAGCCAACATCGGAAGCAAGCAAAGGAAGATGATGCTATGTTTGCCTTGTGAATGCTATGGACTGGTGTGCTGTGGAGCAAGAGGCTGTGTGTGCTGTTTTGCTTGCCTCCAACCAGGGGCCAGCAGAGGAAGGACTCTGTCCCCTTCCTCCATTCTCTTCCTGTTTTACCTTTGAGTTGTTTTTATTTTTAAGCTGCTTTCAGACTTCAGATAATCTTTGTTGTGTTTAGGGATATCATACAGTAGACTTGTAAAGGGGGTTTCAAAGCTGCTAGAGAATGTGGTAGTTGTGGGCTTTTCTTTTTATGGTACAGAGTGGGCAAAGCAGAAGAAGCTCTGGAAGAAGCTCCCCCATCCTACTCTCCAGTAAGGTAGGTTAGAGATCCTGCCCAAGAAACAGGAGAGGCTGCAGTCTGCTGCTGAAATCATTCCTGCCTGCCTCTTTCCTCACCCCTCCCCTAGAATGTATCTCCAGCCCCCCTGCCTGCCAGTGTTAGACCGGAAAGCAAGGGGATGTGAAGCATTACTGGTGGCCGAGGAGGAACACTAATAATGGTAGAGGGACCCTGTTGCTCTAACCTCTCTTGCACAAGTGCTTATGGTATGCAACACCTTCCCACTCACAACCCCTTCTCTTCCTCGCCTCCCTTTCCCCATCAGTTTATCCAGAATCCTGCCCACAGCCCAGATGTTTCCATTGCACGGCAGCCAGTCGTCCAAGCCCTTGGCAGCTCACAGGACTGCAAGCGGTACCCCAGGCTGAAGGGGCTCTCTCCCATGGGGCAGGATGTGCCTTCAGCAAACTATTTGCAGTTAATTTAATTCTCCATTATCCTACTTTTATCCCAGTGCAATCCTACCTCCCTCTCTCCCTTCCACTGATGCCTTCCACCACATTGTGCTGTGGTGTGGGGAGTCCCTCTGAGCCAGGCCAATGCTACAGACTCCCTTGGGATGGCTGTGTGTGCCAGGGTCACAGAGCTGCGTCCCCCTAAAGCAGGAGGCCCTTCCATCAGCATTGTTACACCAGTGGGAACATGCTGTTGCTGCAGAAGCTTGTTCAGCTAGTGAGCACAGAGGGGAAGTGAGACATCAGTCATCTCATGTCAGTAGAACAGCCCTGCAGCAGCCAGAAGTTCATCTGCACATGGGGAGAAAAACCCTTCAGAGCAAACTGCACATGCTGCCCACTTGTAAATGAAAGGCAGGGAGGAGGGTGCCAAGCTCAGGGCTCCTGCTCGTGGGATTTCTTGTTGAGTGTGGGAGAGTTGTCTTTTTTTACTGCACATTAAAGGAGCAAAGCCTTGAGCCTCCCTTGAAGGCATGGTGTGTACTGTCAGTGCTGGGGTGGGGAGGGGAGGATGCTGTGGGGAGAAGAGGGATGAAACCATGCAGCCACATTTGCTTTCCATGAAAAGGCAAGGGCACTGGTGCTGAGAGGAGAACAGCATGGGGGCTGAGGGTGCTCCCTGCTTTTTACTACAGTCTTGTGGGGAGGTGATTACAGGCCATCTCAAAATAGCAAGAGGGTGAGCTACCTCCTCTCCTTTCCCTCTGTGTCTTGTGACCACATCTGAATACCCACCTTGCAGCCCATAAGTCACTTATAAAGACATACATTTGCTACTAAAGGGCCTTCTGGTATCCACAGGACATCCTCAGTTGTACCTATACCATCTCTCCAGTGTCATCCTCAGTTGTTCCTATACCACCTCTCCAGTGTCCAGCTGAGTGGGAGCTGTGGGAGGGATCCTTTAAAGGAAGCTGAGTGGATTTGAAAATGTCATCTGAAAAAAGGCAAAAGGGCTGAGCTTCCCCTGCTGGAGCACGTGCAGGAGAGGAAGCAAGAGCAGGGTCATGATGGAACACAGGCTGGTTCTGTAACTGTGGGGCCAGAAGGCCTCCAGAGGAAGCAAGGCCAAGCCCATTGGCCAGTTCCTGGCCTTGGGCTGCCTGCCTCAGCTGGGAAGGAAGGACTCCTGGTGCCCCGTCAGCATTTGTGCACCATACCAGCCTGTTCACAGTGGTGATGCTTTAACACTGGTTCATGCCCTCTCAGTGCCTCCAGCTCCCTCAGAGCACTCCCTGCAAATTCCCTGAAAGGAGAAACAAAGACATCCTGAGTGAATGAATATCCTGAGTATGGGGAGTTCAAACTCCTCCTTACTGCCTCTGGGATGCCCTGAGCCCACGTCAGGACAAAGACCCCATCTTCACCCTCACCTTGTTTTTAATTCCCCAAGCAGCCAGCACAGGACCTGGCAAAGGCAAGAGGGAGCTGTCCCCAAGGAAGACTTGAGTGCAGTAGAAAGGGGTTGCTGTTATTTTTGTCAAGGGACAAACAGATGGAAAGCATTTTTGGTGTCTGCCAAGTGAGGTCAGTTAGAATCGATGGCCAACAGGTGAAAATTGAGAGTGCTGCTTGTGGCTTCTGGGGTGAGCCTGTCCCCTCTCAACTGTGCAGCCAGCCATGGTCACAGTGCTTTCCACTGAGATTTATCCAACAGTGACAATGTAGCTCTTTTTCAAGGATGAAGGCATAGAAAGATTCCAAATTAGTACTGTCATACTTGTTGTAGATTATACCAGTAATACCTTGAATAATTTTGCAAGGTTTCTTTTGAGAAGGAACTTTGGAAAAAAACCAAAAACCTGCTAGTTCTGCAAGGGGTCATTTTAATTTTTGGCTGGGCACTTCGCATTGGCAAAAACTGCTTCATGGTTGCGAAAAAGAAAAAAAATGACAGCACTGTAAGGAATTCTTTTAAATGCCTTTCCCTTTTTAAGTCTTCTGATGCTGTTTTGGAAAGAACAGTGCTGCTCGCTCTGACCACCAGATGGCTGTGGTCCCTCGCACACCCAAGCCCGGGCTTCTCGATTACAGAGAATAGCCCCTCTCTCCCTTGGCAGTGACCTGCTTAAGGCTCCGCCACCTCCGGGGACAGAAAAAAAACAAAGTTTTTCCGTAGTCTAATATTATGCTGCAACCATTAGCCCTGTGCGGCCTCGCACAGCGACCACTCCAGAACATGGATTCACCCACACGTTGTGACTGCACGGAGGATGGGAAGGGGTGCTCATGCTCTGCCTAGGCATCCATTAATAACCACTCTGGGAACAAGATCCTGACCTGGACAGATATTTTGCATGACCCAGAACAGCTGTTGCTATGCCAGATGAAGAAAGACATAACTTCCTTGTACTGGGTCAGAGTTGCTTGACATCTCTAAAAACTAAATATACACTAAAAGTTAATGAGAATTTCCATGATGTTTGGGTAGCGTGATATTGGGCATGCCAGCATCACATTCATACAGGCAAAAAATTACATGTTTCTCTTTTACCAACCACTAACCTCCAAATAGTACGTGAATTTTTTTTAAAGGGCGATAACAAAAATATGTCCTGATTTCCCACAGCATTGTCTCACAAAGTCAGCACAGAAGTGTCCCAAGTCAGTTCACTGGGAAGGCTGTTCTCCATTCCACAGGACTTTCGTGTTGCTTTGCCGTGTCAAAACTTCCTCAAAGCTTATTCTGAATAACAAAATTCTCCCTCCCTTCACAAAATGAGAATAAAGCCACTTCCCCTTTCCCTTAGATTACTGTTGGTGCTGCTAAGGGTGGATGAAGACAATACAAACAAATGAGAGGAAAAGTAGGTGCTGCAGTGCTCAGGAGCAAGGGAAGAGAGATGGCCACTGCCAGGATCACTCCCCATGAGTCCAAGTGTGCTGCAGTGCTGTCTCCAGCAGCCTCCCTGCAAGGCTGGACATTGGCTCTAGCCAGGCACTCTTGGATGGGGGTGCAGGGGTTGCTACACTGGGCCAACAGAGAGGCTGAGGGCTCAGCCCTGCCAGGAAGAGTCCTGGGGGCTCTGCAGCAGGGATTTTCTTGGGGGGATCAGGAATTCCCTTGCAGCACAGAAAAGCTGCGTGTGCCTGTATCCAGGCGCTTGTTTCCCTGGCCAGTCTCGGCAGAAAAGTGTGGATCAGGCACGAAGCAAATTTGACAGCAGGGTGAGGCAAGGACACGGCTTTCCTGTGGCTTATGGGGAGTTTCTTTCACCAGCACAGAGTGGTAGGAAAATCTGTGTTTAGAAAGGTTGCCGTGAGGCACTTCACTGGTATTTTTAGCTGCTTGAAAAAAAAAAAAAAAAAAAAAAAAAAAAAAAAAAAAAAAAAAAGCTTAAAAAGCTTAAATGCCAGATCAGTCTCAGTGAGAAGGAGGTGGCAATTTCTCTGAGCTCTTTAGCAGTCTTAGTCCAAAAAAGAAGAAAAAAAAAAAGGTAATTTAAAAAGTCAAGGTGTGGGTGATCTGCCAGCAGTGCCCTGCTGCCCCTGGGCAGGGACACGTTTTGTGCTGGCATGCACACCATGAACCACCAGCTCCAGCTGGGCAATGAGGGGGTGGCTCACCCCACACCAGGCAATTTTATTCTCACCACTTGCCGAGTACCTTTGGTCCCTCTCGGCCTCTGCCAGACCACACCCAGCAATCGAACACTTCAATTCAAATCCCACGTCGCCTTGGTAATGATTATTTAGCTAAAGAGCTGCCGCCACCGCCCCGAGGTCCTGCTGTGCCCAGCACTGCTCAGGGGAAGGGCTGAGCCCAAAGCCCTGGTTCCTCGGTGCCTGGGATGCCGGGGAATGCATCCCCCCAAAAAGGGGGTGTCTGGCCCTTTTGCTGTACCAGCTGCAGTCTGTAAGCTCCATAGCGCACAGGGCTCTCCAATGCTGAGCCCAGTCTGCCCTAAACTAAGGTCTTTGAAGTAATATCTGCCCTTTCTAACCCTTCTTTGGCTTATTTCTCTTCGTCAGCATGTATCTGTCACCCTCCCAAGACAGAGAGCAGCTCGGTGGAGTAAATAAGGTCCTGCCTGCCTGCCCTGGAGTGATCTTTGGTAATAAGTGAAGGAGGGAGCACAGTCTGTGCCACAGACACTCTGTGTGTCTTGAGTCACTTAAATTTGGCACATCCCGAATGCCAGTCTCTAAAATGGATTCATTCCCATACATTGTTCCTGGGTTTGCTGTTTTGCACCAGCACAGGTGAAAGCCAGTGCCCATCCGGCACCCCAGAGTTCCTATGCCTTGATTCCCCCATACAGAGCGGAGACTGTCCAGGTCCCACAGCAGTCGGACACAGCAATCCTCCGTGTCCCCCGGTCAGAGAGGGCTGCAGCTTTCCCAACCTGGAACACCAGCTTTTCCAACCCTCCTGCCTCACCCGGGGCGGCTCTGGGAAGGACAGCTGAAAGGGGAACACTCGGTGGCTGCAAGTGATGCCGCACGTTCCGCCAGGGCATGAGCCCCCAAACCCGCAGCGGGCTCCCGCTGGTGCTGAGTCACCTTTTCCCAGCTGGGCGTGCTGCTGAGTCAGGGTCAGGCCGGGCCGATGCTGAGTCAGCTGTGCGAGGGGCTCTGCTGAGTCACGGAGCGCTGCACCTCGGGCTGTTCGCGCAGGGCGGTGACTCCGCTGCGCTGAGATTGCAGCTGCTGCTCCTGGCCCCGCTCCCTGTGCTCCGGAACACTGGAGAAATCTCCAGAAACAGCCCCTTCCTGCGGCCCAGCACTTCTCCTGTACCCTGGACTAGGGAACCACGCACAGGTGATTTGGAAACCTTGCAGGGAGGGGGGACTTGGGTCTCACTTTCTGTGCGAAACTTGGCTTCCCGTTCCTCCTCCTGAGAAAAGGGTGTGAGCAGTGTGGTACAAGGTCCTCTTTGTTGCATATGTGTGATTTTTCAAATCCAAAGTTTCACGGTTTGTTCTGTCTCACAGTCAGGGCACAGTTTGTTTTCCATGGTTGTGGCACTGAAACAAAGGAGGCAGCAGCACCGACTGAAACAGTTGCACAAATGGAATTTTTATTTGCAAACTCTGCCCCATTCCCTTCCACACCTCCCTTTGGCTGCCAAAGCAGCTCCTAGCTGGACACAGGATTGATTCCCATGACCACCAAGACTCTAGGAAGCATGGTGGGCTCTATGCACCCTCTCCCAAAATTTCAGCCCAGTGTACCCATTACCTGCTGTGTGCTTAAGGTCACTGCCTGACTCTGGTCAGGCCCATGCCTTGCAGGGCACTTGCTCTTCCTCTTTCTCCCTGCTCTGTTTCCAGACAGCCCAGGCTCTCTCCTTGCTCACAGCCATGTGCTGGAGACACCAATGTGCTGCAGCACACATATACCCATACATCTATGAAAATATTTATTGTAATCTGCATTTCCTATTTTTGTCATGCTGGTTCATTTATCCTGGGAAATTTGCCTGTGCCTCCATCTCCCACCACACTGTTTTCCAGGATTCCTATGTGG